AGGGAGGGCAAAATCCGGATTTTAGACTGGAGGGGCCTGGACGCAATTTTTTAAAAAAGGAGGGGCTGCAGTACATTAGGGAAAGTAAGGGGGACTGTAGCACAATAGAAATTGAGTTTTGAGGCCTTGAAGCAATTTTCCCCTAATTCTATCATCAATATATTTACAGGGAGGGCAAAATCCGGATTTTAGACTGGAGGGGCCTGGACGCAATTTTTTAAAAAAGGAGGGGCTGCAGTACATTAGGGAAAGTAAGGGGGACTGTAGCACAATAGAAATTGAGTTTTGAGGCCTTGAAGCAATTTTCCCCTAATTCTATCATCAATATATTTACATTAAGCCTTCAAATTAGGGAGGGCAAAATCCGGATTTTAGACTGGAGGGGCCTGGACGCAATTTTTTAAAAAAGGAGGGGCTGCAGTACATTAGGGAAAGTAAGGGGGACTGTAGCACAATAGAAATTGAGTTTTGAGGCCTTGAAGCAATTTTCCCCTAATTCTATCATCAATATATTTACATTAAGCCTTCAAATTGCCATATTCTCAATTTACGTCTTAAAGTTCTTTATTTGCGTTTTTAAAACTGGTTTACCAGTCCAATATATTTTTGAAAAATCTCCTAAAATACTTATATTATAAATGAGTCTCTGAAATGTCATAAATTGTATTAAATTAGGTCTCTCTTATTAAAATCGTTATCTTTAACTCCCAACAGACTTAATAATGTTAAGATTTGCCATTATATACTCAATTTTTTAATATAAATTTTAGCTAATCCGTACCATTAGATAAAAAACCAAGTGAGGGCAAAATTTTGGACTAGTGGTGGGCATATTCTCAATTCGCTAAGTTTCACTCCCTTAACACTTACATACCCTTACTTGTTTAAAAACTCCAAAATTAACATATCAATGTTATATGAGAATTTTCGAATGAAATTTTCATGTTTGCATAATAGAAGGTAATAAAGTGCTAATCTTAAATAACTCAAGACATATAATGGGTACAAAAAAACAACTGAGAGTATATAAGTGCTAAGTGACTGAAATTATAAGGTATTTAAGTGCTATTGAGCCTCCATATTTTCTACTATACTTGGAAGGGCAGAAATGTACTTTAATAAGGGACATCTTTTTTCTCTCTCTTTTTTATTTTGTAGACTATTTCATATATCATACAAACATCTCTTATTTTCTAGAATGTTCCATACAAATACTCCCTCTCTCTTATTTTCTAGAATGTTCCATACAAATACTCCCTCTCTCTTATTTTCTACAATGTTCCATACAAATACTCCATGAACATGACTCTGATTTTCTAGAATGTTCCATACAATACTCCATGGACATGAACCCATATAAGTACATATCATGATATCAATTATATATTACATTCTAAAAGGAATATAGATTAAAATTATAAGTTCTTTTTAGAAATAGTAATAATATATATAGCAAAAAAAGGCAAAGAATGTAAAGGTATATAATTTTTTTTTAATTATAACTTTTGTGCATTAGGCACGTGATTATACAACAAAAATGTAAAAATCTTACCTTTCCTTATAGGATAGAAAAATAGTTTCCTTAGGTTTAAGTTATCACATTATAACTATAATCAAATTGACGATGCATTTTTGAGATATAGAAAATTACTTAAAAATTTGTGTGCCTCTTGCATGTGTATATGCACAAGACACATCTTTTTTTTCTCTCTCTCTTATGTTTTCTAGAATATTTCATATATCATAACAACACAATCCCCCCCCCCAGTCTGCCCCCCTCGTAAAGGCGACGCGGCCAGTCGCCGGGCGCCGGGCGACCGCGCGACGCCCCCCCCCCCTTTTTTTTCTACGAATCTTGCATACGAATACTCCGTGAACATAGCACATGAGCCCATGTAATTACATATCAATTAAAATTTAGATTCTAAAAGGAATATAGATTAAAATTATAAGTTCTCTTTAGAAAAAATAATAATATATATAGCAAAAAAAAGGCAAAGAATGTAAAGGTATAGAATTAAAGGTATATAATATATATATATATATTAGAAATTATAAGTTTTGTTCATTAGGCACGTGATTCTACAACAAAAACATAAAAATCTTACCTTTCCTTATATGATAGAAAAATAGTTTCCTTAAATTTAAGTTATCACATTATAACTATAATCGAATTGACGATGCATTTTTGAGATATATAGAAATTTACTTAAAAATTTGTGTTTCTCTTGCATGTGTATATGCTCATGAAATAATGATAGTATTTTAGTCATCATCTATTTCAACTCATTAAAACTCAACTCAATTCTTCTAGGTTTTTTATAGCTAACTTGTTTTCATCTCTCTCTCTCTCTCTCTCTCTCTCTTCTATTTCTCAATATTTGTTATTTACTCTTGTATTTGCAGACCGGTATCTTGTTTTAGAGATAGTCTAAGTCCGTACGCAACAAGATTAGAAAGACAATAAGATGTAATGAGATGTTATTTTTAAGGATGTTAAGTTTATTCGGAGTTATAATAACAAAAAAATTACCATTAGGGACTTACTTGATGCAACTTATGCCGGGCTTATTTTTTACATACGTGTCTTAAGGGTTTGTTTTAAAAATACCTCATATTTAGGTGACCAATCGGGGGAAAATCATATTTATTACTATTATTATTTTATAATTTCGATTAAGGTGATGGTGGCGAGAGAAGTTTAACTAGGGAACAGTAACGGACCAATTGTCCCACCATTTTAGCAAAAAAAAAAAAAAAAAAATTGGTAAATTTTAGCTCCTGAATTGGAGTTGATGGTTTTGGGGGATAGAGATAGGCAAGTTACAATTTTTTGCCATGTTGGCCAAAACAAAGAGAGTCGGCCTTAATCTTTAATTAGGGTTGCTTAATGCGCATGCTTTGGTATAAGCAAGTTGGATAACTTCTAAAGGTGACCTGACCCATGCCTAGCACTAATAGGTAAATATAGATTCGTGTTGGATGATCATTATTTGTCTATAGGCCATAATGATAAAAACCAAGAAATCACTAGTAGAAAAACAAGCAACCTAGACGGAAATTTCCGTCTAGGTTGCTCTATTTCCCGTTTAGGTTGGTACACCTAGACGGAATTCCGTCTAGTTTGCTCCGTCTAGTATGATTCTGTCTAGGTTGGGACAAACTAGACGGAATTCCGTCTAGGTTGAACAACCTAGATGAAAATTAACCTAGACGAAAGTAAGAAATCTGTCTAGGTTGTCGACCTAGACGGAAAGCCGTCTAGGTTGAGTCCGTCTAAGTTGCCTCCGTCTAGGTTGGCAACCTAGACGGACTTCCGTCTAGGTTGATTATGACAATCTAGACGGAATTCCGTCTAGTTTGACTCATCCTAGACGGAATTCCGTCTAACCTAGACGGAGGCAACCTAGACGGAAGTCCGTCTAGGTTGATTATGACAATCTAGACGGAATTCCGTCTAGTTTGACTCATCCTAGACGGAATTCCGTCTAGGTTGATATTTTTTCAGCAAAAAAATTATTTATAATTTGTATTTTTCTGTACAATTACATTAATACATGAATACATCCAATAAATAATGTATACATGAATACATCCAACCATCCAAATATAATCAAAATTCATAACAATTCCATTCAAAACTAAATATAATCAAATCCAACACAATGCACAAATCCAACCATCCAATCCAAAATATACATCAACCAATTCCGTCTAATAAATACATCCAACAACATATATACTAATAATGTACATAACTAAGATCGGATACACGACATGAATAAATGTAGTGTTATAACAAATAAAACTATTTATTGCATTAAAAATAAAAACACCTCATCTATCATCGTCGTCGGCAGTATCTCTATCCCGGTTACGAGAACGGGTGTTGCTCCCTCCAATATCTCCACTCTGAATATTCAATTGAATAATCATTATGTAGTGTTTGATAACATAATAAATAAAAATAAATTTATAAATGTAAGAAAAAATAAGGTACCTAAGGGCTGCTCTATCTAGCGCCGGAATTATCACCAATCGAGCTTATGATCCGTATGATGCCACTATACGCTATAAGGAATCTAATCGCCTAAATATTGTATCATACCTCATGAGATCGTCCGTCGAGTTCGCTATCAGCGCAACTCTAGTCATCTCATTATGTTACCTGAATATGCAGCTCCGGATTAATTTTATCAATCAAATATGCAGAGATACGTGCGACAAATGACATAGCCTGGAAACTGCTTGGGGCTGCTCTCATTGATATAGATGGCGTGAAGGATGCTGTGGATGATCTCATGCTTATGCCGGTGAATCTCCAACACCATGCAGTGGATATCTTCCTCTCCTATTATTAGGGAGAAATAAATATTAAATTTTGCTCTCGAATTCAATAATGTTAAACAAATATAAATAGGAATGTAGTATTCAAATTGATTTGATTTTTTATCATCCATACCTATTATAACTCATCAGGTTCTGTGTGTGAGAGTGATGTTCTCCTCTACAGAAAGCATATGAGGGTCCGACTCGGTTTGTTCCTCCTCCTGGGAAATGTACACAGATGTTGTCTCCTTGGATGCAGCCTCAAATCCCTCCTAAAGCACAAATATATAGTTAATTCAAGGTAAAGACCATATTATTTGTGTTCTTGTTTCCTCGTAATATTAACAACGAAATAGAGTTAATAATACTACTCAAGATATGTATAAGTCTCACCACCAACTCGAGATTTGCCTTGATCTTATACCGATTCTTCTCATCACCCCTATATCTATCACATAAATGACCATACGCCGCTTTTGCCCTCAAGTGTATCGGCATTAATGATTTTCCTTGCCATATTATAAATTATAAGATTTCATAATCATACTAAGCATTAAGATCATTTAAAGCTTTAAATGACATATACTGTATCCTGACAATAAACATCATCCAGATTGGCATAGGAGTGTGAGCCCAAGTGGTGGTCATGCAGCTTCTTTCTTCTATTTTCTGACCCCTTTGTGGATTTATTCTTTAAAAAAAATTAGTAAATATGTAATGAAATAATATCTTAAAACTATAAAGTACTTTTCATGAAACTAACCTTAGCGACATCGCTGTCCCAATACATGAGGAGAGCCGTGAAATGAATCTCGTCAACTCGGTCATCGAGGTTTAAAAACCTCTGTCGGTCCTCCTCATACCTGCCATAGGTTTCATGTTTGATCTCATGCCTCCATTGTTTGAGGATTGTTTCAACCTTGACATTAAACACATAATTCCAAGCCCCCTCAAAGTCCTCAAGGCAGAAGCAGTCCTGTAGATTTACATATACATTTAGTAAGGATAATTTAATATCAATTACTAATTATTAATAAATGAAAAGCTAAAGAAATATGCAATTACCATAAGCTCAGTCCATATCGCCTCGTATGCGGTCCATGGTAGTTCTCAGAAATGAAAATAAGGGTTGATAATGTTCACTCTACACACGAGAACCTCAATATATATATTCAATCGGGTCGACCAAGGACCAACAGGCAAATTAGAACTATTCCACCGAATTATCGCCCTTATTCCTCTTGGCGGTTGTTTAGATTCAGGCTTACCTCCGTCACGTCTGTTCTCTATGCGATCTAGCTTAGCGCCTACAATAATAACATGACAATATATCATATAATATATAAATATGAAAATTAAAAGTATTTATGCAATTGTTATCTCTCTTTCTTTTACTGCGAGTGCAACAACTTTCCTAGTCTCCAACATAGGAAGCATTTCCTCTTACTTTCTCGCAGCACGTGGGTGGTACTTCCTTGAGTCAGCCATGGACTTATGAGAGTCCGGAGATAAGGTAAACTGAGATAGTCCTGTGTCTTCGGCCGCAAGTCAGTATGAAATGTATAGGATGGATATGTCGGGGTCTAAGAAGCACCTACATAAGAAAGGAGAATCATTAATATGAATTTTTAATTGACCATTATCAATTATTAAATATTGAAAACCTACGTCGGGGGGATGGTTCTGGTGCTGCATTAGAGGGGTCGGGTGATGAATAACCCGCATCTATAACAAATAAACACTATGAGCTAGATAACTAATAATTTATAAAATATATTAAAATATTATTTAATTTTTATACCTACATCCGAAGATGGTAGTGTATCATCAGCACCAGTACCTGGGGTGATACTCCATGATCGATCACCCTCCGGGCCAAAGAGCCTCCTCGCCCTCATCATTTGCAAATTCAATTATTAACATAGTTAAGAAAAAATTGTATACATGCTCATGAGATATGTATTATGAAATGCATTATTGTTTTTATTATGATAAGCTAAAAATCGGTAATGTATAGTGTAACATATATAGTTCATACCTACATCCAGCGTCACATTCTGTGTGTAAGAGAATTCTTGCCAAACGTCATCAGATGACCCAATTGGTTCACTATAATTATCTTCACTTTCTTCAATATTTTTTCATTGTTATTAGGAAGAACAACAAATCTTGGCTCCTTGTACAAAACCACCCAATCAGACATGACATTCGGATCTTTCACGAAGAAGCACTGATCAGCTTGTTCTACGAAAATAAATTTCTCATCTGTATATACTTCTCGGTGGAGATTGACTAATGTAAATCCATAATAATCTTTTTTCTTTTTTGCAGGACACCATCGAACCTTGAACATCGTGTAACTACATTGTTTTGGTTTACCAAACCCGTAAATTACCTCAACAATATCTTCTAATTGGACATAATATAGTATGCCAGCTAGAATTGGATTCTGATCTCTTATACTTGAAAAATATTCTTGAGCAAACAAACCCATGACCCCACTATTCTGAGTTACCCTCCTATCATCGGTCTCTAATGTTCAAAATTTATATCCATTGACCAAATGCTCATTATAACGTCTCACTTCATGATAAGGGCGTTGTGCATGGATAATAATGTCATCTGGTAACGTAGTACCATCAAGAAGTGATTTTTCAACCTAAGCCAAACAATTTAAGAATATTTAGGTGATGTTATATTATGAATATTTAATAATTAATTGTAAAACACTTACATCAATTCCTATATCTTTTCTGAATATTATGCGCTGCATTCCTACCGGTTGTTTCATTCTTAAGCTTCTCCAGATGTCGCCTATATAAATAATATATAAGTTTGTATTGGATATCAGGTGCTTGAGATATGTGTGACGCCTAGGGTTCACACAAGGCTACAGTCCCAGGTGAAACCCAGATTTGTCGAACCTACCAAGCACCAAATACCATGCTACAATATGTTTCACCATCACAATCATTATCTCTCTAGTGGAAACAATAAATAGATGAAGGTACAGACAGGCAAAACTAGAAATAGAACAATACCGAGTATACACAGAAGAAGCATAAGAAATATTAATAATGAGCCCAATTGGAAATGAAAAATAGATATATCTCTGAGTCTGAACTGAGTCTCAAATACAATGAGTCAAATAAACAAAGTCTCACAAGAGTTCTCAATTCTAAAATAAATTACCAATCTAGAGTCTGAAAAATAATCAACTACATGTGGAGTTCTGGAAAGACTACAAAATATAATAAATAGCTAAACGGATAACTAAGATGTCCCATCAACCTGCGACTCTCTGTGCGCCGGACTCGCTGCCTGAAAGAGGGGAAATAACGAGCGTCAAAGCGCTAGCGAGATCATCACTACCTCTCCCCAGGGGAAGGGGTATGAGTATATATAGAAAATAGAGTCAGTACATACATATATCAAATCATTCATATAGCTCTTCATGAATGAAAAACAAATAGTCAAGGAAACACACTCCAATCTCCAACATAAAGAATAAATATCTCATCTCGAAGTACATCCGAGTAACCTGCTCTAATATAAGAGGATGCCAGCCAAAACAAACAAAATATAACTGCCGTTCATAACGGGTGTGCCAAAAATCTCAAAGTAAATACCCTACTCACGGGTAATCTATCATGGAAGTAAAACTCATAACTGATCAAATACCTATGTGTGCATCATCTTGTGCTATAGCGATACTTTTGTAATGCTCTTACTCAATCGCTCTGCGGCAATAGGTTTTATTATCTCCATATTCCGGATACATGTAATAACGATACTTTTGTAATACTTTTACTCAATCACTCTGCGGCAAATAGGTTTCATCTCCCTATTTCCGGATACGTATAGAACAACATTCTTCAATATGTTTTTATCAATTTATCTCATGTCAAGTGTGTGTCAATCTAACACAATCTAGCATATATGCATAAATCTCGGTGTTCGTGTCCACATCTGAAGTTCACCATCATTCCAGGTGTTTAACAATCACTAATGTCATAGTCTATCATCATAAGGTCAAGAAATTCGTTCAACAACCAAAAACAAACTCAGATAAACATGCACAGCCAAAACAAACTGGCGGTCGACCGTGGCGGTCGACCGCGATGGGCTCTAGAGACTACCCAGGTCTCTGTCCTGCACGCGGTCGACCGTGGCGGTCGACCGTGAACCCAATTTCCAGTTTTTCTCCAGATTCTTATGTGTCGTGTTCTCGTCATATTTTTGTGATTCAAACATGATAAAAACTTCATGAAACTTGCATACAAGCATGGTACAGCAGATAGAAATATATGAAAACAAAACAACATATATAAACATAAATTTATGCATTTGATTTATATTCAAAACCCTAGAACATGCATAAAAGCTCAAAACAACGAATCGAACTCCTTTCTTTACTTTAACCACCTTTAAAAATCATCAACAGATCTAAATCACATCTGTAAAAACGTTCTCAACCTTTTTAGCATGAAAAAACCTAATCTTTATACATATAATACAAAAGAATTGTCTTTTATACATAATCTATTCGTTTAGGCTCTACAAAACATGTTTAAATCTCTTTAAAAACGTTTTGAAAACTGGGAGGAGGATTAGTAGAGATGATACTCGCCTTTGGTTGTAGGAAAACGTGTTAGAAACAAGGTTGAAAAAGATCTCCACTCCAAAAGCCAAGAATCACCCGAAAATCCACTTGAAAGCCTTCAATCTTCTCCAAGAAATCAAACTAGGGTTTGGGGGGTTTTTGTGGCTGTTAGGGTTCTTAGGAAAACTGAGAAAATCGTGAAAAACTCATATATATATCAGGGGAAAACGAATATGGATTTAGAAATCCGAAACCAACTCAAAACAGAAGAAAAACAAACTGCAGGTCTCGCGGTGGTCGCCCGGGCTGCGGTCGACCGCGGCGGTCGACCGGACTAGGATTTCCCAGATTCTCATGAGTTTGGCCATTTGTGCATGTTTCAACACTTCTATCTCTCATGTATGAACTCGTTCATACTCAAATCACATGGTATTATACTCATATACCATTTAATGATATTTATCATACTAAATATCCACATATCATAATTTATCACATATAAATTTTATTATTCATAAATTATCGGGGTTTTACGTTCACCCCCCCTTAAGAGGATTTCGTCCTCGAAATTCCGCAGTCACATCTCAAAGCTCAAAAACTGGAAAAACACATTAAGAAGGTGTAATTCATATTAAGAATTCCTTCTGCACACATCACCTAGCATT